GAAGCAGCGAAACAAAGCGGGCTCCCCCGTGTTTCCCGTTTCACATGGACTACACTCAATTCCACGCTGAAGGTCCCCTAATTAGAAGTCCCCCAACGTTCCATCCGTTAGTCCCTGGAGGGGGGCTTGACGCCGCCGCAATCTGAGGCTTCATTCCATCCATTCCACGGGCCAGCTTTCCCCCATCAGTTCCCGTTCCCGTTCCCGTTGCACCACCCCTGACCAACGCCGTCGAAGCTTTTTCTCGAGTCTCGGCTAAAGCCAGCGCTTCTCTTCGCCTGCCTCTTGTGAAAGCCATCCACTTGGAAGTTCTCAGGTCTTGTCTTTAACGCTGGCACACGCGCGCGCGCGGGGGAAGAAGGGATCCATCCATTGGATTGAAGCTGCATAATCGCTTGTCCGTCCGAGCTGAAAGCTCCATGCCGGGACGGGAGTTGCCAATTGGTACGTACCTACAGTACCTACCCTCACGGACGTACCGTGCATCACCATCAATCACATCTCCAGTTTTTTGCTACTTCGACATCCATCTTCCTCCCCTTGGCTTTTCAAGCCTGTTCTTAGACATGCCAAATTGGCCTCTCGCTGACTGCGTCCTTCGCTACTAGAACGCCTTCTTCGATCCAGTCTCTTGCTCCACGCTGCTTCTTTCTTTCGTCTATACTCACCTGTCGCTCGCTCCCTATCACCTCATGCTTCTTTTCTTTGTCAGATCGACATCCTGACTTCCACCCGCCGCCGCTTCTAGCTTTTGCGCCACGGTGCCATCTGTCGACTAACCGGACGTCACCCAAGACAACACTTCCAATACTATCGAATCACGGAAGCGCCCAGCTGCCGACGAACAAAAAGAGAAGAAAGCCTTCTGCAAGGCAACCTGAGTGCGTCGCCGACTTGAGCCCGGCTGTTCAGCCCTGACTTGGCACCGTGTCCTGAATCCCTCCGACGATTTGATCGACGCGCCTACAGAGATAAAACTTCGCCCCGATCAAAACATCCAGCTCTGATTTATCTGGTCCAACCCCTTATTCAAAATATAACGTCGAACCACAATGGCAACGCAGACCATGCATGCTCACGGTCGCGATGCCCGCCATGGAAAATCAGGCTCTGGCTCGTCCCTGAACTACGGGCCTGTGCCTGGATCGCCCACTCTGACGAACCCCGATATGATCTTGCCCGATTATGATTGCGATGAGTCCCTCGATGATCGCTCCCAGTCTCCCATTTTGATGTGGAACAATGGCCGAACAAACGACATGCGCTACCTCCCTCCGTCGCAAAACCCCTTTGTCGCCGGACCCATGAACATGACCCCCTCAACACCTATCATCTACGGAAATGGAACTATGCTGTCGGATATTGGAGAGGTGACCGAGGTTGAGAGTGTTGTTGGAAGGGGACAGCGTCGCCCTTCATCACACCTGTCTGATGATGACCCTACTATGGCTATGCCATCTTCGTCCACAATGAGCGTGTCGCGCATCAAGACGAGGTCGCAAATCTTGTCGCGCGAGAGAAGGTCATCGCTCGAATCCAACTCGACAATCACATCTCAAGGCCATGGCGCCCCCTTTGCCGATTTTGACGATTCCGTCAGTGTTGACGATATTAATTTCCAGGGCGACGATGAGGAGAGCATGGCTTCCTCATATGTCGAGGGAACCGCTGCGCAGGAGCCCAGGGCCGCTCGTGTTCCCCGTACACAGGCCGTCGGCGAGGAGCGGTATTCCACCAGCTCTCTTAGTGATAGAGCAGAGCAGATTCTAGCCAACGCGAAGCAAAGATTAACGGTAGGGTCTGCGTCTTGAAGATTAGGAGGCTGTGCTAATGATATTATAGACAATGGAAGGAAACCTATCGAGAGCGAGAAGCTCACTTTACTACTCTCCCATGTCTGACGGCTCAACACCATCTCCCCCGATCGTTCGACCAGCGACATCCCTCCAAGACTCCGCCGATCCGTTAGGAATGGGTCACTCGAGAATGCAAAGTGACATCAGTTTACAAGACGACTTTGGCGGCTCTGGATACCCTCAGCGATCTGCTAGTGCCTTGGGAGCTGCAGGAGGCTACCGTCAACCTTTGACTTCGTCCAGAAGCGCTGATGCACTGGGGGGATACGGCAATTCAACTTATAAAACTCCGCTTTATGCTCTGGATACGACACTTGAAGCCCTGAGCGAGGATGAAGATGGTTTCAATGGCAACAGGAATCGGGACAGCGTTCAAAGTTTCAACATGCAAAGCCCAACGTTTGGCTCATTCGTTGACAAGGATATAACCCGATCAGCATCAGTTGCGCAAGTTCGCGACTTGAAAGATCAGATGAAGGATCTGAGGGGCAAAATCTCGAGTCTGAAGGAACAAGCACGAGCCGATAGTCTAAAACGCCGCAGTCTACAGAGCCTCCGGACACCCAGCCCATTCACTCACGCGAGGTGGGACCAAGGATTCCTTGAGCCTCGGAGGGTCAAGGGTGCTGGGCCAGAGACAGTGCCCTGGCAGGCTCCTTGGAACAATGATCAGACCAACAACGACGCGGATGCCAAGGACACGCCTGATCAGGAGGTGGAAGAAGTGAACAAACCAGAGGAAAGGGCGCCAAGTGTCAAATATGAGGACACTGCCGAAGCCTATCCTGAGGAAGCGCAAGATGAGGACAGAAAGACGCCTGTGCCAGATCCTGAACCTGTCGTCAAGGACGAGCCACAGTCGAATGGCGTTGATGAGGTCGATAGTCAGGGTGAGGACCGGGAAGGCAACGTGGAGGAAGTACGAGCAGAAGGGGATGAGGAAGTACAGCCAGATCTGCAATACAGTCCGCAGGACAATGTGCTGGATAATGCGCCGGATAACGTCTCAGACAATGTGGATGATGCTGTGGAGGGAGATCTACAAAATTATCCTCAAAGCGAACAAGGGGACGAAGAGGGCGAGTTTGTGGACTATGAGAGCGAGAGCGGCGAGTCCCTATACCACGATACATTGCAGCACCCTGTCTCGCACGAGGATCGCGAGGACGCATTCGACTATGAGCACTTCTTCCTTCACTCAGCAATGGGAACGATCAGCCAACAGCGACTAGGACGACGAGGAAGCTGGGGCAGCGTGAGCTCAGAAGACTCGGTGGAGACGACACGGGGTCCTTTGCCTGAGCTTGACCGAAGGACAAGCATCGACACGATATCTTCATTCGATACCTTTGCGACGGCAACCGAGGGACGCGCAAGCCGCACCTCGACAATTGACGATACGACTGAGACTATTCTGGAAACCCCTGAAAACTCGGATGGACCTCCTACTTCCAAGCGTACCACGTTTGGGGGCTTCCAGTTTCCGCACAATAGCACTCACAGCTCCAGGAATAACTCGGTTGACTTCCAAAAACCTCACGGCCGACGCAACACGGTGGTTCACCGACCGACGAATAGTGTAGTTGCTTCGTCTAATCATCGACCGTCTGTTTCATCGTTCGAGTCGACAGGGACCAACAGAAGCTTCCCTCTTGTCAACAAGTCCAAGCCCACTACAGGGGTCTTGACACCGACAGACAGTACCCCTGGGGGGTCTCCGGATCCAGAACTGAAGCAAATCTCGGAGACACTTATGAACGGAGCAACTAATTTGGGGGGCACGGGCAGTGGGCAGAGCAGCGGAAGGTCTTCTGCAGTGCAGGGGCTGGCAAAAGAAGATGGGATCCTAGTAGAAAGGCTCGTGGCCAGCCTCGGCAAATGCGTTCTGGGATTGACGGAAGCATCAAGGGCCAGCTCAGAGGCTCGAATGTACCGGAGAAGAATTGATGCAGCACGGCGCATACTGGAAGGGCTAGAGGATTGTTAATGTTGGGATACGGCCTCAAACTTGAGATGAACAAGGTTAGATGGGGGGGTGGCTTTGGTGTAGGTCTGGGTCGGCGCTTTACATGGCGGACAACCTGCATATGGTGCTCTAGTTTGGAGCAAACGGAGTTGAGAGCTGTCTTGGATTAGATCAGGTTCGCGTTCGATACCCTTCAGTCTAGCGAATCATCTTTACTTGAGTTGCATGCAGTTGTGTTTTGCTGTTTGTGTGGGTTCTCCTTGTTGGTGACAGCGATTGAGACAAGTGAAGGGGTGAAATCCATTGTTTGACGAGCCAATGAATGTATTGCTGGTGAGTCCTCATCAGCATTTGTTAATCCAGTTAGTAGAGGGCGAGTTTGGATTGGGGCAAAGAGCAATCAAGCCCTAGAAACCTTCATCGTGTTGCGCAAGCAGACAGGTTAATGAGGTGCTTTCCACCAATCACCCGCTTGAACAATAGCAACTGTTCTTGCGACACATGTAGCAGGCTGCCGACTGCCTGGTGGTTAAATCTGGGACGGGTCAGCGATGACAGAGCTGCTGTCTTGCAGTCTATCTATCGTCAAGTCTCGAGGATGTCTTCTCTGGCGGAGTGAAACGGGCAGTTCTCTGGACGGGTCTTCTATGCCATTAGCGACCGATATGTTCACCAGAGGGGGGCTGGCGCAACGGTAGCGCGGTAAGTCATTACAACATGATCAATTTTAAATTCAAAATTCTAATTCCCTCACTAGTCAGATTCCAGTACACCGGAATCTCCTGAAGGTTAAGGGTTCAAATCCCTTGTCCCTCATCTCCTACAAACTCTTTTTTTGCTGATTTTGGCACCTTTTCTTTTTGTTTGTTCAATCTGGGCTGGTTCTTATCATTAATCAAATGTTCATGCCTTGTATCGAATTGAATGTGTAACTGCTATACTTCCTATTTAAGCAACCTTGGTCTCGCTTCCCTCTACCAAGTGAGCAACTACAGGTAGGCAGATGAATCTGGGGTCGGTCCGCCACATGTCAAGATGTAAGGAGTGAATACACATCTTCCCGTCCACCACGATCGGGTATTCGCATTCACACAAGCACGTCACTCATATGGAAGGAACTGTCTATTTATCGTAGAATCCAATGTGTCACCATTATTTTCTCCGATCTCGTTGACGTGATGGTGCGCTGCCATTCACCATCCACCTGGCCAAGAGCAGAGCGCGGAAGTTACCCTGCACCGCTACACCGCTAATAAAAAGCCACGCATCAAATCCTACCAAACCTTCTCCAAAACCCCAGCGATACTAGCCTTTGTCCCGCCCATCTTCAACGGCGCGCTGGTCTACTCCGGCTGCACAAAGGACCACAAAAAGAAGACATCGAAAAACGGCGTTGTCTTTGCAGACATGGAATCGCCGACGATGGCAACGAGTCTCCTCTCGGCGCTCCTGCCGCCGGATCTTGTCGACTCGATCAACAAACACGTCCTCCACCCGCGAGCGCCCATCCAGATCCTCCTGCGCCACGTCCTCGTCCAGGCGCAGAACCTCCTCGATACAGCGGCCCCCATCATCGAGCCACTATTCGACCGCCTCATGACGGCCATGGCCGAGAACCAGGGCCTCGTCGGCGTCATCGCCTCCCTTCTCGTCCTCGCCACCTTTCTCATCATCCTCAACTGGATCCGTCGCCTGCTCATGTGGTGGACACGGCTGGCCATGCGTGTCGCGACCTGGGCCATCCTCTTCGCCATCGCTGCCTGGGTGTGGGAGCGCGGCGTCTTTGAGAGCGCCAAGGACATGGCCATCGCGGGAGGAAAGGTGGCAGGATACCTGGCTGTCATCAAGGACGTCTGGCTGGAGGAGTATAACAAGTATGAGGCCCAGCAGGGCATGGCAGGTTCAGGCGGAACGAAATCGGGAGCGAGGTCGAGATGATGACGCGACAAGGAATGATTTTTTTATGACCGGGTCACAACAACCACCAAACCAAACCAAACCAAACCAAACCAACAGCGATGATTCGATCCTGCTGAGCACAGAAACACACTATTTGGATACCCTGAGAAGGACGCACGATAGGAAAGACTCGGAACGACGCACGAAGATATGCACACGAAGGAGACCAACTACATAATTACCTATACTTTGGCAGAAAGAGACGGAAAGCTGGATTGTCTCCGCGAGAGTTGAGACCATGGACGACCATGCCTTTATTCAGTTCGGTCTCGTACTAAACGACGCAAATAACGCCAGCGCTATGCAATACTATCAAGATCCCATGCAAACTTTGATATCCTTTGTCCCAAATGTGCCCTCTTTTCCTCGTAGTTACTATCTGACTGTTATTCCTGATCCTCAAACTCCTCGTCGTTTGGTTCCTTGGGATCCTGCGCCTCGTGGAACTGGATGCAGTCGTCAATAAAGCTCAGGATAGCTGCTACACTGTCCTCGTTGGTCACGTCCAGCTTGAGATAGTTGATCATGCTGAAGCTCTCGATCAAACCGGCCACGGCACGGTTTAGACGACGGAAGCTGGCACCCTTCATGACTTGATCCTTCTCATCTGGTGGCCTTGAGGTATCGTCCTCACCCTCGGGTCCCTCTGTGATGCGACGCGTACGCTCGATAGGATCGTCGTCAAGGAGGGCCACGTCAGGAGTGAGGAAGCGCTTCAGATCCTTCTTCTTGACCTGACCCTTGACAAGATCCATCTTGGATAGAAGGTTGATGTGAGGTACCTCAAGCATCAGCATGGCACTCATGGCGCTGAGCGTACCGGAAAAGAACTTGGCGCGGTCAACCACAAAGGTGGCCTCGAGGAGGTAGACGGCGGCCATGCGGATATCGAGGGCGCCAGGCTGCGACAGAAACTTGACCAATGCGGGTAAGACGGGGACATGTGTGTAGAGCTCGATCTGGCCTGGCATGTCGAAGATGATTAGATATTCCTCAGTTAGAGAGTCGAGAGCCTCGGTCAGCCAGTCGAGATTCTCCATGAGAAACTCGAAGCAGTAGATGAGGCCGCCATTGGGCCCCAGGCCAACCTCCTCCATGGCATCCTTGAGGGAGATGAGCTCCTTGATGTCAAGGTCGGGCTGATGCTCAAACGTCTCGGCAGCAGGGTCGAGGTTGACGTAAAAGGCGGACCGGCGGTTGAGCTGGAGATGAGTGATGAGGGCGGCGCAAAAGGTGGACTGCAGGCGACAGCCGGTTAGCCAGGGGACGTTGGGGGGAGTGGCAAGCACGCAATTGAAGAGCGCATATCGGGCATGATGGTGCAAGACTTGAGTGAGTCAAGGCTGATGATGATGATGACGACGGGAGAAGAAGGGATTCGTTTTGCGCCCAACGTACCTTGCCCGCACCCGCGGGGCCCATGACCATGGCACCGAACTTGCTCATATTGAATGAAGCCGGGGATTGTTGATGATGGGTGGTTGGTGTTTTCGTCGAGTTGACAGGGGAGCTTCTGCGATCACCTCTAGCTTCCCCGTTGGGTACCCCGAGCTATCTAAGCTGCCCCGCCTGATAAGGGTCCGGGTCCTTGGATGAAGGCAAAAGCGAGACCGGGGACTCTGTCTGTTAAGGACGTGCAGAGGCGCAAGGTCTAGGTAGTGTGGCTACAGGCAGTTCCCGGCTCGGTTGGGCGTCAGCGAGTGTGCTTGCTACAGTAATAGTAATGCCAGTTTGACGGTGATGAAGGTGGTCAAACTTTGACGTCGTCGGGCAAAGGTGGGGTTGTGTGAAAAAAAAAAGAGCTGGGATAGATTTTTTCTTTTCGCACCTGGTCCCGGGCATTATGGCGGGCAATTTTTTTTTATTACTCTCCGGTCCCTCGCTGACTTTCAGTGCCTGCCCCGCCCCATCATGCCCAGGCTAAAACGGCCATCATGATGGCTCCACGTCCCCGTCTATGTCCATGGCTCATCCCGATTAACCTCCCTCGTGCTTCTCCGCCCGATTGCGCTCTTCGGACGTCGGCGCACGTGTATGGAAGGCGGTCAGGGTACTGGCCAGGGTGGTCATGGAGGAGGAATCGAGGCCGACTGGTTCGGCACAGGAGCCCATGTGCCCCCGGGCAGCCAGTCTCTGAGGTTCTATCAGTCCCAGGAACCCAGCTAGCCAACCCGTACTTTAGCGGGGATAGAAGACGGTTCCGTGCCCTCTCGTTGGGCTGGGTTCAAGGAACGGCGGGCGGCAAGTCGATGGCGCAATTCTTCTGCAAATTTCGGCGTCCGAGACAATCAAGAACCTCCCCCCTCCAAGTTTGCTCTGCTACCCCTCCATGACGGCTACCGCTGCCGATAGCATGTGTACATGGTCTCCACGCTAGCTCCCCATAGTGGAAGCATGTACTCTCTTAATATCTGGCCCTGTAGATCAACAAACTGCCGCGACCGACGGCCGGTCAACAACTTTTTTTTTTTCTTTCGACATCCCCGCCTCTTGTCCCCTGTTGAAGGCCAAGCCAATCCATTGAACCAACCCCTTCGCATGTAGCATTATGAGGTAGGGGCCCAGATATGTACATAGTAGCTCGTCAATTGATTCGACTCATTCGCACGACGTCAAGGTCTCACTGCCCCTTGATTCCCGTGCAAAGTGACATAAGCTGCCCGAGTCCAAAAGTGCCCGACTCGATCCAAATTCCCACCCCCCACTTGCTCAACGTATTCGCACATCCCCCTCCCTCCCGCCTTTTCTTTCCTTCACCTCCCGCTCGATTCTTTTTTTCTTCTCTTCTTTCTACATCCTCTTCCATTTCTTCAATCCTCCCTCGGCTCTCCAGCGTCTACTCTCCGTGGTACGTCTTTGTCCCAATTGCTTCATTGTCGATGTATATCTAACAATCCGTCTCCAGTGACTTCGCTCTCCGGTCATCACAGTCAGACTTCCCCGCGCGGCACAGCTTTTCCGTCACCTCTCATCCTCCTCTCCCCTTCATCTCACAATGTCTGCTGCCAACGGCACCAACGGCGTCCACGCCGAGCTTTCCAGCTGGAAGCACTACAACGAGGGATCTTTCCTCTTCACCGTAGGTCCTTCCTCGTCTCGCCTACCCCCGAGATTGCGATCCCGAGCCCGGCCTTTATCGGCATTCACACTCCGGTCTTAAACCGAGGCTTCATGCATCAATTGTTCCCCTCTTCGACCCCGCTGCTAACATTTATCCAGTCCGAGTCCGTCGGCGAGGGCCACCCCGACAAGATCGCTGATCAGGTTTCGGACGCCATTCTCGATGCCTGCTTGCGGGAGGACCCCCTCTCCAAGGTTGCTTGCGAGACCGCCACCAAGACCGGTATGATCATGGTCTTTGGCGAGATCACCACCAAGGCCAAGCTCGACTACCAGAAGGTCGTCCGTGAGGCCATCAAGGACATCGGCTACGATGACTCCGAGAAGGGCTTCGACTACAAGACCTGCAACCTGCTCGTCGCCATTGAGCAACAGTCCCCCGATATCGCTCAGGGTCTTCACTACGATGAGGCCCTTGAGAAGCTCGGTGCCGGTGACCAGGGTATCATGTTCGGCTATGCCACCGACGAGACCCCTGAGCTCTTCCCCCTGACCCTCCTCTTCGCCCACAAGCTCAACGCTGCCATGTCCGCTGCCCGCCGCGACGGCTCCCTCCCCTGGCTCCGACCCGACACCAAGACCCAGGTCACCATCGAGTACCGCCACGACAACGGCGCTGTCATTCCCCAGCGCGTCCACACCGTCGTCGTCTCTGCCCAGCACTCTCCCGATATCACCACCGAGGCTCTCCGAAAGGAGATCAAGGAGAAGATCATCAAGCAGGTCATCCCCGCCAAGTACCTTGATGACAACACCATCTACCACGTGAGTTCTTATCGCCCCCTGTTAGTGAGTCATTTGATATTAACAAGTCTTTTTAGATTCAACCCTCTGGCCTCTTCATCATTGGTGGTCCCCAGGGTGATGCCGGTCTGACCGGCCGCAAGATCATTGTCGACACCTACGGTGGCTGGGGTGCCCACGGTGGTGGTGCCTTCTCCGGCAAGGACTTCTCCAAGGTCGACCGATCTGCCGCCTACGTTGGCCGATGGATCGCCAAGTCTCTGGTCAACGCTGGCCTCTGCCGACGTGCCCTTGTCCAGCTCTCTTACGCCATTGGTGTCGCTGAGCCCCTCTCCATCTACGTCGACTCTTACGGCACCTCAGAGAAGACCTCCGAGGAGCTTGTCCAGATCATCCGGGACAACTTTGACCTCCGACCTGGTGTCATTGTCCGGGAGCTCAACCTGGACCAGCCCATCTACCTCCAGACTGCCAAGAACGGTCACTTCGGTACCAACCAGAGCTTCAGCTGGGAGCAGCCCAAGGAGCTCAAGTTCTAAGCCATTTACCTCGCGAAGTTTCGTGAAGGAAAGAGAGTATTCAACAGCTCTCTGCATATATTCATCCCAGATGTTTAATCAGTCCATTTGATTTGGCAACTCAAGGCGGCGTACGGTTCTCAACGAAACCTTTGTATCTCCCACCGGAAGGGAGGGCGGGCGGTTTCCGGCTTCTGTTTTGTTCTGTTTTTTCCAAAAAAACCAATATTTATTTTGGTTCCACGGCTGCGGGAAATTTCTTTCGCGATATACCAGGCATGGAGTGGGCGTCTTTCAACAAAGACATTTTAGGGCAAACCTGCATTTGTGAGGCGAAGCAAAAAAGTCAAAGACTTGCATTACGACGATACCCTGACGACAAAGGGGATGACAAAAAAGAGACACGACACATACTTATGAACGTGGCGCTTGACGGGGAAACAAAAGAACTTCAACATCTTTTCTTTCCTGGATCTCTAGCCGAGCTTTTGCAGTAAGCGGGCGAGAGCTGAGATATGGCGGTGGATAGATCGACATATCCGATCTTGGGTTACGCATGAGAAGGAAGGGCGACAGTTAGATGCGTCCTGTGGCTGCTGTAGTAGATGGCAGCCAGAACCATGAAATGAAAGAAAACAAGTTCACGGTCATTCTTGATAGTCTTGATCTTTGTGAAGTCCCATGTGAAGCAAATCGAACATGTGATGTCAACTACGGCCGACAACGGAACGATAACCATTGTCATGAAGCTCATGGCCGCAAACGGACATGATGAACCTTGCTGCTATCTGCCTGACTGATACCCGGCTGCGTCGATGCCGCCGGCAATCTTACACACGGGAACCTCACGGGAACCCGTTCGGGGACGTCTCACTTCTCACACATACATGACCGGCAATTCAGACCGTTTATCACATAGCCGGCACGCCGTTATTCGACCCCCTCTACGGCAATTTGAAGATGACCGGACTCGGCAGTTGGCGTTACAAATTACCTCCCAAGGTTGAGTTCTAGAAGGTCTTCTGGATTCTTTGTCAAGGCGGAAGCATCCGGATAGGCAGCAACAGTTCTACTTTTTTGACTTTGGGAATGGTTCAAATGTGATGTCATCTTCATCTTCATGGCTCCCTGCGTTGTGTAACAACTAACAAGGACTCGCTTGTGATGGCCAATCCTAGTCCAAGCTGGATAGGACAATACAGGGTCAGACCATAGATGGATGGTTGGATAGCACCATGGAGACGAAAGAGATCTTTGTCTCTTGTCAGATATTAACATTCAACATGAAACGTAAGGTCTGTTCGGCAGAGCGGAGGCTGGTCTATCACCTTCCAAAGTCGGCCGTGTTCCTTTGGCGTCCCATCACATTACTCCCGGCACATGGCCCGTCTAATATTGACTCTCTGCCGCGCAAGTTTACCCCCTCGCCTCCAGCATGTCTCACTCAAGCAAGGGAGAGGGACGTCAAGCTTGATGCTCAACGCCAGGATTCCTCAGAGCTACTAGCCACAGACGGGCCGTGGTACGGCGTGGCTCAGGGAGGGCGGCATACGGGACACCAGAAACGGGGAGACGAGAAACTCTGAGCAAAAAGTGGTCTCATGGTGGACAATGGGGAAAGTGGAATTATCCCTGGATCCAACCAGGCGAATCAAGATCAAGATCAGAGGTACAGCCATTGTCTTCCTGGAGCCTTCAAGCCGTTTTTATTGTGAGGAATTGTCAAGTTCATCACATCCTATTCCGGATGGCATGCCGCTGGGTCTGGACTCTTAGAGCCCATCTTGACCACGTTTGACGGTTATTGTCTGTCCGTTTTCATCTTGAGCGACGAACAAGCGGGAAGAATGGAACGGTTATCGATGCTGAGGGAAGATAGCCATGTGTTGGAACGACAACAAAAGGCCAAGAGAATTTGGCCGAGACTAGGGAAGTCTACTCGAGCAGGTGAATGATGTGAAGCTGTCGATGAGGGCTAGCTGCGTCTCAGCCGCGTCTTTGCGGAAGCGAATAAACGCTCCCCCATAGAGAGAAGCCTACTCGGACAGGATCCAGTAATGATCTGCCATGTCACTGCCGTTCGTTCTGGATCACTTGTGCCAAAGGTTCGCTAAGCGAGCTGCTCCGGCGCTTGGTGGATGGAGGTGAGGGCGCCAGTTTCGGAACACATCTCATGCAGGAGTCTGGTCTGCGGCGTTGTTTTCGATGCCATTTTCAACGTTGTAATGGCCTATCTCTCAAGTTCTGTCTCATGACCTTGCGCTTCATCCTGCCGTTGATGATCTGGTGAGACAAAAGCTGGTATCATATCATGGGCGTATCTCATGTGTTTGAGTCAAGGAAACAACCTGGCAAGGCAGTTTGTGAGTCCCCCGAGTCAAAACTTGCACCCAATAACCACCCTCTTATCTCCGTGCGCCAAGGGAAGAAAATCTTTTCTTCCATCATATTACGAATTTCTACGTGACCGTCATCTATGTATTCAGGCATCAATAGGCATTGGCATCCACGCGGCACAAAGAACGGTGCTTCCTTCCTTCCTAAAGAGGGACTAGTTCTTGTCCTAGGATAATCGAGTTGCATTATGGAGGGTCGCGAGCGTAGGATCAAGTGCCGTGGACAGAGCCCGTGGTCGTCTTCTCGGGGGACGGGAAGTGGTCGTCCGTATAGTTGCGGCCCCGTTTACCACGAGGATGAACAAACGTTAAGGCGTTGTGTAGGTTGGGTGCGAAGTCGGTGAGTGCCACACCCGCAGTCTCTTCTGCAGCCCACGCACCCGGAGAATCAAAGAGCCTTTCCCAGTCGTCCATCCTAGTTGCACCCAAGACAACGCCGGCGCCTTGGCATAGAGCTGCTTCCTTGGTAGCTCTCAAAGGCCATAGGTGGTAGGGCTGGCACGAGGTGCACAGACAAGGGTAGAGTCATGATCCGGAATTTCCGAAGCTGAATCGACAGCGTGAACTTGTCAAAGGTCGTCAAGGTCGGAATAGCATCATACCTTAGGAGAACAATGTGTCAGAACCAAACAATCCACGGAATCTATGGGTATCAGCTCATGGCGTAGAGTAAGCCAAGGGCTCATAGCGAGAATCCGAAAAGCACTCGACCTGGTAACCGAGGGTGCGGTTGGCGCTTGCGGACCGCATTGGACTATTGGTATACCTGGGAGCAGGCTTCGACATGGTCTGCCACCTGAGCCGGTGGGCAGGATCGATTCTGTGGGTAGGCTATCCCTAACCTACTCCGTAGTAGTTTGGGATGATGGAGAACAGCCACAACTTAAAACCGTGAGAGGATAGCCAAGCGAATAGGAGCCATGGGACAATTCTCCGCGTACATTCCCGGGCGAGAAGCCTCTTGGTTGTCTGATTTGAGGGAGTTCACTCTGGCTGCTCCCTCTTTCCATGAGTTGCTTCAGCTCATGACGCCAGCCGCTGCGTCCAGCCGATTGTTGTTCTTCTCAAGGCGGCTCCCGTGTGATCCATTTTCTCGTTAGAAATCTCCATTGTGCATTTCTCCCAACAACTTGTGAAGAGGGGGGCGTGTACTCAAGCTACCCAACAGGGTAGTATGAAACACGTAGATAGTGAACCTGGTGTGATATGAACAGGACAAGACGTAGCAACGATACCAAGGAAGTCTCATCATGGAGGTGGGTACTCTCTGCTTGAAACAAGAGTCAAGCCATCGAGGCCAGCCGCAGATGAGCAGCCAATCTCCAAACAGGAATCGGCACTTGCTGACGAAAGCCTATGTAAGGATGTAGGACAAGGCCCCAGGTTTCCAAACTTTTGTGTGCCGGGCTGAATGCGAATACCCGTGCTATTACCCCATCCGATGCCCGTCGGATAGAGAAGAAGTGAAAAATGACGATGCTTGGCTGGCCAAGCTGCTCAACTTCTGAGTTGTCAGACGCTGTTGGTCTGTTCTCTCTTCTGAATAGCACACTATCACGACCGTGAGCGAGCTTCGGAGTAATTCATGGTAGCACTGGCCACCACCTGGCTTTGTCCACCAAAACCCAACAGACCGGATGAGCAGAGGATCATCCCGGCACGCCATTATAGCGTAATCACTGCGCTGGTATCCGAAACCTGGGCAATGTAGGCAGAGGAGGCGAAAAAGGCGAAAAAGGGGGCGAGATGGGGACCAAGGGCGGTCCTAGCTTGGACAATCAACAGAACCGAGGAGATGGTTTGGCAGTCGGTGCGGCCGGGAGGTCGCTTGGCTTGGATCTGTAGGAGGGGACGGATGCCAGAGTTGAAGCCGCACACCACCCAAAGGCTGGGCGAGGGCGCCATGTGCACTTGCATCTTGGGCCCTTTCTTGGTGGAGTCATGTTCATTCGTGTGTCAACAACAGGCCAAGTTGCCCGCCGTGGCATACGTGACGAGTGGCTTGGCTGGAGATGGAAGGGGGAGAGGCCGCAGAGGGTGTGATGAAGCGTAAGCTGTCGCGCCAACGGGTGACGCGGGTGACCAAGGAGGCAGATGGCGTCGTTCTGTTCTCATTCTTGTGTTTGTCGTTAAGGAAGTCATGCAGTTGGCCGACGCCCCCGCACGGAGAGGACAGAGGGAAAATAGGTGTGCGCTGTCCTTCAGCTGCGGCCTGAAGTTGGAGCCGTGACACTGTGTTGGTGGAAGTGCTTTTCTTCCTTGGCCCGGGAAGTGGGAGGAGTGTGAGGGAGAGGGGATGGAGATGGAGAGTGAGAGTCGAGGTTTCCAAGATGGTTGCGGCAGGCTCACTCGAGCGCCCCGTGAAAGCGGGTCCGGGGCGCGGGCGCTAAACCCAATCTGAAGCTCAATAGACGGCAGGTGCCCGTGCACTTATTCAGCCCGGCCGGTCGGGACTGCGGGCTGGCAGGGGCTGTCGGACAACAATAGCAAGCGCGCCGTGGGGACAATAGGAAGCTGCAAGCCCCGTCAAGCCCCGTCAAGCCGCGCCCCACCTTCCACCTGCCAACCACGCCCTGCTCCTCCTTCCGTGTCCGCAACCCACGCCCGCCGACGTCTCGCCGGTCCGTTTAGACAATAGACTTGAGGCATCCATGATCCCTCCACCCCAGCCAAGGCAAAAGGCACACGTTATTCCTGCCGGGAATGAGCCACTCCTGTCTCAGATTGGTGACAATGCTGATCACAGCCAGCGTGGAAAGTGATGATCACCCTCTTTTCTTTCCCTTTTCTGATAGATCCCTTCTGCTTTGGACGAGTCCTCGTTTGCCTTGGCGTGCGTGATTTGGTCCTTGTTGATTCTCCGAACCCCTTGCCTACCTCCCAAGGGAAATATGACGGCGTCCCGACGATGCACGCGAGAGATGACGACACTAATGCACGGGACGTTGGATGCTTTCATGTCTCTAGCCAGAACCCTCGCTATTTCGCCTCATTGAAGGAATTGCGGTGGAGACTGCGGCCGGCAGTTTGAATAGGTAGCACTCAGGCACCCAACAAAGACGGAACGCCCAAAAGACGAATTCAATGAGCCGGCTGCCCGCCTGTCTGCCCTGCAAACGCCGTGGCATGAATAGCTGATCCACAGAAATCACAATGCTACTTGTGGTACTTTTTCGCCTGCGACTAACCTTGCCCTATCCGGTACTAGACCTCATCCCATTCCACGGAGATGGTATTCAATGGGTGGCCCTCGCGTTGGTTTCAATCCGCGTGGTG